CCCCCCCCCCACACACACGGGGCTCCCTTCTCCACCCCCACCCCGGCCAGTGCAAACACACCACTGGTCTCCGGAGCTGGGAGGACGGGAGGGAGGACCAACGGGAGAGTCCGTCAGTGAAGTTGCCCCACCTCGAACAAACCTGGTATCCCTGACCCTTGCCCATCGCCCGGACAAGCGGGGTCCTGGGGCCGGAGCTGACTTTCCGAGGACATCCCAGCCCCGGCACCCGAGCCCGGAGCCGTGCTATGTTCCCCCTTGGTGTTTCAGGGAGGGCGCGGTCAGGGAGCGGCGCGAATGCCAGCCCGTCTGTTGCCAGGCAAAACTGAGCCTGAACCCGGGCGGGACCTGCTGGCCGGGAGGGGGCGAATATCGAGGCGCGGGCAGCCCAGCGGGCGGGAGGCTGGGCTGAGGCTCGCCTCCGCCCGGAGCTCAGCCGTGCGAGAGTGCACTTGCTTCTCCGGGAATAACCAAATATCTTTGTTTAAAGTGGCGGCGTAAATGGCCAGTCGCTTTGTGGCCACGCTGGATATTAGTAGATGAGGATCATTCTGCTTCAATTGGGCGCCTCTCATCTGGCGGGCAAGAAAACTGCTTAGGAGGAAGTGGGTTTCCTGTCTGCATGTTCCCAGGCTTCAAGTGTGAGCCCCGCGCCTTGAGGGTACTTGGGCGCCAGGCGAGGGGGAGCGATGGGCGGCTCTCCCCTGCGAGGTCCGGGGCCTGCAGCCCGGTGGACTACCGAGGGGTGCTCTGCACGGCGCACATTTTGAGACCGACTCCAACTTTTCTGCTTGGATTTTAAACGATTTGGTTGGGTTTTTTTGTTTTGCTTTCTCTGGCTGTTTTAGCCTCCTTTCCGCTCTAGGGATGCTTCGGTGGCTGGTCAAGGAGGCTTCTCGAATTTGGGTTTTGTTTTCACATTTTCCCCCCTCCGAGTAGAGAGGGAGCTCCCGATGATTAAAGGCAGTTTTGAACTATTTAGTTTATCGGGCTAGTCTCCTTTTTCATTTGTAGCAAGAGTAAGGAAAGTTGTTTCACTCCTTTGCTTTTTATTTTAAGATTTCAATTATCTCCTTGAAGAGCGCTTTGTACTTCCTCAATACAAAGCCAACTCCTATACTAACATTCGCTTTCCTCACCGACTACCTCCCTAGGAGGGGAGGGACAGTCCAGGGCAACTCCGGGCCTCCCGCCTGGGCCCCCGCTTCCGCGCAGCCCGCACGCGCCTTTGGGGTGGGAGACGCGCCCGCTGCTCAGGCTGCGGAAGACAGGCGCGAAGCTGGGCCCCGGGACCTCGCTTCCCAGGGTTTTCTCTGGGGGGCGCTCTCAGGCCCCATTAACTGCGCTTTGGTCAATGTGGTGTCTGAGCCCAGGAAGCCAGGAAGGAAGGCGACGCCGGGCTCAAGTGAGCGACCGACGGAGGGCAGGCGAAGCTGAATACAGACCTTGTTTGCAGGCGCGACCCGGGAGAGCCAGTGTCCCGAATGAGGTTTTATTGAGAAGGAGGATGGGTTTCCCAGTCAATCGACTTCTTTCTCTCTCTCCCTGTCCATCATTTCATACTTGTTGGTCACTGTAAGAAACACCAAGTGTAGATAAAATGTCGTACAACTCTCCCAAACTCAATGCCATTTAGAAATGGAAATAATTCTTCACATGGTATTTGTGATACTCAAATGATGTTGGACACGTCAAAGTGCTTTGAAAAATTTTAAGCTCAGTGCCAGCACTGGAGATTTCTGTAGTTCTTATCCTGACTATTCCCTCCCCGGTCTTTAGGGCCCCAGATGTGAATGAAGGAAAGAGTTGGGTGGATCTTCCTCGGCTCCCAGGCCGTGCCATCCCCGCCTTCCTCCCTTTGCAGCCTTCCAGCCCCGCAGCAGGCCCCTGACACACGTGGCTGGCAGCGACTCGGCCTTCGGCTCGGAGACCCCTCGAGTCACCCGGTCCGGCCGTAGCTCTTGAGGAGATCCCCGGCTCTGAACCAGGACCCGAGACACGCAGCAGGCGGCGGTTCGGGTGCTGAGTTGGAGACCGGAGCCCGAGGAGGGCGGGGAAGGCACCGGCTCGCGCTTCATGTTCCCACCTAGTTGCTCCCGCAACTGGGCCTGGTCTTGCGTCGGCCGGCCGGC